TTAAAACTTGAGTTCCACTTAGAAACTTCCGAATTATACTGTGAGATAGAAAAAAATTCTGGTAAGAGTTAAAGTTTTGAGATCCGATGAAATTAAAAGAAAGATTGCAGTTTCTATTTTCTGTTGGTGCACCTCTCTTTCTTGAATTGTATATTCTTTTATCACATTTATGTTTCAGTATGGTATAGCCTATATACTTTTTTTGCCAAAACTGATTAATGATAGGTAATTTGAAAATAACTGATTGATTGTGTGTGCCACTTTCAGCACTCTGCTATATCATGTTGGCCATTTTGTTTTTTAAAGAACCAAGGTATCAAGAGTGAATCGGCTATCTTTGTATTAAACAAATGGTTGTCCTTTACAGTCATGATCGGAATCTGACAATCTCCCTATATCACTGTTTGTTGACATGCAAGTGATCACATTGAGTGATCTGAACACGAACCTACATCTGACCTACTAGTTTTTGTTTTGTTTTTGTTTTTGTTTTTGTTTTTGTTTTTGTTTTCGTTTTTTTCTTGATTTTTGCAAAAATTTCAGTGGCAAATATAACATGAATATCAGCACAATTTTTTTTTCTATAGGAGATGAATACTCTTTCACAAGACGGACCTTAATGTGATGGTTACAGATTAGCACTCTGAAAGACATGTTACGCTACATAAATACATGTGTGTGTGTTAAATATTTCTCTTGTTGGAGACTTGTAAAGCCAAATACACAGTGTGGATATTTTGTTGTTGTTGTAGGCAGTACGGTCATCAATAGTACAAAAATAACTATGCATAGTGTTTGAATCTCAGATTGCTCTGACGTCTAGCGGCCTTATTTGTTAACTTGCTGGTCGTACAGTTCGCTATAATTGACAGTTTGAAGAAATACTACAAAATATGATTGTTTTTCGTGCCAAAATTATGTAAGCCTGTACAAAGCATTAAAGGAAGATTGAGTACATCGAAACTCATTGTTCTTATTTACATCCCTCTGTTGGACAGAAAACTACAAATTCCGGAAGCTGTACGCTTACATGCTGTTACTCTTGGTATATTGTTATTTTTTTTCCCAGTATATTCCCACATACCGCATCGGGACGATACGTTGCCAACAGGTGGGTTACACTAATGACAGTACAATTGCCCGTATTGACCGGATGAGATATAAATAGTCAGGTGGCCGAGTGGTCCAAGTAGTTACTACTGTAATCACTAGCCAGTCAACACTCAGGTTATGAGTTCGAACCCTGCTCGTGCGGGTGCACTCGACTCCAATCTTAATTGACTAGGATTGTCAGTTTTCCTATCGAAGGTCGGTGGTTTTCTCCGGGCACTCCGGCTTCCTCCACCAATAAAAACTGGCCGCCACGAAATAGCCCAAAAGCGGTGCTTAAAAGTGGCGTTAAAACACCAAAAAATCAAATATAAATAGTCAGAACTTTTTTGTTATTTGATAGATTTTTTTAATATTTGAAGACCTTGGAAATATTAGACTATATTTTATGAAAATCTAACAAAGAAGTTGACCGGACGGATTTCACACTCACTGATGTACGCTTTACATATATTGAACTGATCGACAAAAAGTGTTACTAGTAATATCTCTTTTGTTTTACAATATTTTTTCATACTACTAAGAAATCTGCGAGATTAATAGTTATCTTATATGAAAATTTAAACTTTATAGTAAAACAAAATGTTTTTCTAAAAAAAAAAGTTGACCGGACGGATTTCACATTCGCCGATGTACGCTTTGACTATACTGAAATGATCGACAAAAAGTGTTATAAATATCTCTTTTGCTTTACAATATTTTTTCATACAACTAAGAAATCTGCGAGATTAATAGTTATCTTATATGAAAATTTAAACTTTATAGTAAAACAAAATGTTTTTCTAAAAAAAAAAGTTGACCCGACGGATTTCACATTCGCCGATGTACGCTTTGATTATACTGAAATGATCGACAAAAAGTGTCATAAATATCTCTTTTGTTTTTAAATATTTTTTTCTTCGTGAAACAAAGAAATCTGCGAGATCAATAAATATGTTAATATATGAAAATATAAACTTTACAGTCAATAAAACAAGTTTTTCTACAAAAAAAAGTTGAGCCGACGGATTTCGCTACAAATAATAAAGACCAGATCAACAAAAAATGTTGATATTTCTCATGTCTAACAATATTTTTCGGTGAAATTAATAAACCTTTAAGAAAAATAATTGTATAAATGGTATTGTATGTAAATACTAATTCAATAATAATAATAATAATAATAATAATAATAATAATAATCATATCTTTATTTAAAGAGAGTAACTCATTTGAATTAAACCCAATCGTAAGGTAATTCATATCAAGATCATATCAAGACCACTTTCGGCTATTTTTTTGCCATACATTTTGTCAACTTCGAGTAGCATTTTCCTTTTTTTTGCACGTCATTTGCTTTCTCTTGCTTTAGTGAACGTCCCTTTGAGCGGGCCGCCATTTTAGAAATTAGCAACCTTTACGACGGACTTGAAAACGGCGACGTCATAATACGGTCACGACACTATAGCGGCGCCGAGAGCGATGCGTATAAACAATAGTGTGATTTCCCTTTAAATGCTTTATACTATAGGGATTGTGGTGTTCTGTTAAATGCTTTATACTGTAGGGATTGTGGTGTTGTGTTCAATGTTTTATCCTGGAGGGATATTGGTGTTGATTTCAATGTTTTATGATGTACGGATAGTGGTGTTGTGTTCAATGTTTTATACTGTAGGGATTGTGGTGTTGTGTTCAATGCTTTATACTGTAGGGATTTTGGTGTTGTGTTCAATGTTTTATCCTGGAGGGATATTGGTGTTGATTTCAATATTTTATAATGTACGGATAGTGGTGTTGTGTTCAATGTTTTATACTGTAGGGATTGTGGTGTTGTGTTCAATGCTTTATACTGTAGGGATTGTGGTGTTGTGTTCAATGTTTTATCCTGGAGGGATAGTGGTGTTGTGTTCAATATTTTGTGATGTAGGGATCGTGGTGTTGTTTTCAATGTTTTATACTGTAGGGGTTGTGGTGTTGTTTTCAATGTTTTATACTGTAGGGGTTGTGGTGTTGTGTTAAATGCTTTATACTGTAGGGATTTTGGTATCTCCTGTAGCGATTGTGGTATTGTGTTCAATGTTTTATCCTGTAGGGATAGTGGTGTTGTGTTCAATGTTTTATACTGTACGGATTGTGGTATTGTGTTCAATGCTTTATCCTGAAGGAATTTTGGTGTTATGCTAAATGTTTTATCCTGTAGGGATTGTGGTGTTGATACCAATTCGTTGATCGTCACTGTTAACTATTTCACAACGTACCTAGACGCAGTGTGATTAAGAGCTTTGCTAACTGTATAGACACTGGTAATTTTTGTATATATGCTAGTTTGATATATATGACCGTTCTTTGACGGACTTAAGCCCATTGGACTTCATAAACACTGCATACTTGTTTTCGAGACATTTTTTTTGGTAATGCATGATTTGGAGCTGATTTGTTTGGTTTGGTACATTAGTTCATTTTATGTTGAGACTGCTATTCGTACTGGTTGACCGACTTTTTTTTAAAGGCTTCATGCGGAGGAATTCGTGTCATACAGTATAAAAATAAGCAGATGTGGTGTGATTGCCAATGAGACAACTCTCCACCAGAGACAAAATGACGTAGAGGTCACCGTACGGCCTTCATCAATAAGCAAAACCCAAACCGCATAGTCAGCTATAAAAGGTCCCGAAATGACAAATGTAAAACAATTGAAACGGGAAAACTAACGGCCTGATATATGTACAAAACAATAAATGAACAAAACAAATATGATATACAGCAACAACGACAACAACTGAATTACAGACTCCTGACTTGGATAAGCACATACAGAATGTGGCGGTGTAAAAAGATGTTTGCTGATATCAAACAACTAACAAACAAAAAAACAGAAAACAAAAAGTTCATTCTAAACGAGTGGGTGAAAAATTCATTCTCACACCGGATTAAATAAAAAGTACTTTATTGTAACAAGTTGTCATAGGTTTCATATCTCCAATTTCTATACATTTTAGCATTACATGCTTTATACAAACGCTTAAATGTTTGGTTTTTTTTCATTCTTGATACCACAAAGCCTTCTTTTGTGACAAAGGATCTAGTTTAAATTAAATTACATAACAACAATTCACTTACAACATAATGTTGAGATATTCTCGAACGTAGACATTAAGGGGATATCTAATGTAAGCAACAGTGCGTTCAACTTGACTGAGGATTTCCTTATCATGGTCTTCGCAACAACAAAAATATGAATATACCAAAGGAACCATATTGCGAATAAAACATATTCTAAATAAGTGACAAGTTCAGGAAAGACGTTCTGTATATATATGACTAGCAACGAGATTTCCAGACTTATGGGGGGACATTGTCTATAATCGGCTTTTTGCACATTTATCCAGTCCATACTGAAACAGAACACTCTGCCATGTTACTTTGACCTATTTGTTGTAATACCAATGCAATGAGTCTTCTTGAATCTCGGCATGATGATAATTTCTATTCGATGAAGACTTTTTATTATGGAAGGCACTTATTTATAAAATACATAGTTATTATATTGTATTAGTGCTTAGTAATCTTCAACAACATATTTGAATACAAATTTCAAAATGAATAAAATTTACTACAATACAAACAGTTCTTTGCTCTCTTCCAGAAAATGAATTCAAACTTGTTTTAACAAAGTTAGTATAAAATTGTCAAAAAAAGCTTCTTTTTTTTTTAATCTGTCTTTTAACTTAGATTTAAGATGAATGTCTCTACACCACATAGCATGCGAAGCGTAACAGTTTATGTGCAGTAGTTTACAAAATAAAATCTCGTTAAAAATACGATAGATTTATTATGATGTAATTTAGATTCCTTTTATGAAAATCTATAGATCACAGCATTTTAATTTTTTTTATCCATTTGTTATGTAGATTCGAATATGTTTTCACTTCAAACGATAACGTAGTTGCCAGCAAAAAATGAAGCCAAGGTAAAGTGTTAATCCTTTTTCTCACAAATACTTCGAAATGACAATTAAACATTATTCAATTGAAGTATTATATGGAATACAATGATTTTAGAAATTGGAGGAACCATCTGAAAACAGTTACACATTGGTAAATAATTGCTTTATTTTAAACTCCTATTTCATTTTTACCGGGCTTCAGATTATCATTGAAAGTCAGAGACGGATTTTTATATTTGGTTCCTCTCTTTTTTTCTTTTTATTTGGGATGCTGGGACGCAGCTACCTATTTGGTAAATGCATTAACTTTTTTCAAATGCCACTCATAACGTTGCCATGGTACCCCACTCTTTTCAAAATCCTTGATCCGCAACTGGAAGTAAATTACTAATATACTTCAAATCTACCATGCAAACATATATTACGACATCTTTGGAGTCTATGATAAATACTGTGTCTGGTCTTTTCTGATTACTAATTTATGGAATATTGTACATGTACATCGCATGAACTCACGTCAATCGTTTTATACCAACCGACTACAGTATAGATAAACGCATATTCTTTCTTTAAATCCTTTTAAGACGCTTGTATTTTTATTGAACCTACAATATTTTACAGCTCGTGACACACTTATGTAGACAAAAGCATTGAAAATAATATATGATGGGAGGGGGAGTATTAAGTGACTATGCCTTTATAAAAATAAGGTGAAAACATTCCAGCAGAGACCGAATGACGTAGGAATTAACAACTATATAAAGGTCACTGTACGACCTTGAACAATGAGCACAATCCATACCACATAGTTAGCTTAAAAGGCCCCGAAATGACAAATGTAAAACAATTCAAACATGAAAACTAACGGCCTGATTTATGTACAAAACAATAAACGAAAAACAAATATGATATACAGCAACAAACGACAATCACTAAATTACAGACTCCTGATTTCGGACAGGCACATACAGAATTTGGCAAAGTTAAACTTAGAATAGAAAATGGAAACAAGGAATATGTCAAAGAGACAACAACCCGATTAAAGAACAGAAAACAGTCCATGGCTAAACATGTTTGCTTGTGCCAAACCCTCCCCCAAACATGTGGAAGTAGTGTAACAGTACAGTAACAGTACAACATAAGAACAAACTATAACAAATAGTTTAAAAGGGCTACGCTCTTTAGATTAAAAAGTCGGATATTAAAGCAAATGAAAAACTATATCGTATAAAAGATGGCTATAAAATATTTTACATTCAAATACATCCCTTAAAACCATAAGACTATATGACTTATTGTATGGAATGCGTATGTTTTTATTATTATTATTGTTTGTTCCTATGTTACACATACATGTTATATTGAATGCATGGTGAGATTGTATTGAATATAAGAATGTTTCCGTATACAAATTATTCATTAGAAAATGTGATGTACAATAACATACGGAAGAATAAAGTTCTTTTTAAAAAAATCATGTTTTTGAAACAGAGATTCTAAATGGTAAAATATACAGAATGTCCTATCTTCTCTTTGACGTTTATAATTAGTTCGCTCGTTTTAGCTTAAAGCTTTGAATTATATAAGTTTCATATGCAATTTAAAAAGCATCCAAAACATAAATTCAGTATAGAAATAAACGTGTATGTCCCCATATGAAATTTTATATAAAGTTTATATATAGTTAATATAATCAAACTACTGAAGTACTGAACATCGGATGACCGCAAGTTCTGGTGGATGGTCACAAGCACTTGTCTCAGAAAAAAAATCACATCTCTGTACCTGAAAGTTGGGTGAAGGTACATAGATATATTTTTTTCTGAGACAAATTCCTGTGTGTATGATGAATAAAGGAAAGGGAATTCAACCTCACCGTAATAACTATTATATTGTAGTGATATAATCCTTTGTTATCAGTATAATCTGGTTTGTTGTTATATATTATATTAATTTGTATAACAGCGGCTATTTTCACAAAAAATCTTAAAGAGTAGAAATACTCGTAAGTCATACACATTTCAGTATAAATTACGATCAATTTTAATCATAAGTTTTTTTTGTGAAAAAAAGTTGCTGGTTTATATATAAAGGCAACAGTAGTACACCGGTGTTCAAAAGTCATAAATCGATTTAGAGAAAACAAATCCGGGTTACAAACCAAAATCGAGGGAAACACATCAACTATAAGAGGAAAACAAAGGAACAACAGGAACACCGAAGTGCAACAAAAACACCAACACACATAGAAACGAACTATTTGATAACAACTGCCATATTCCTGACTTGGTACAGGACATTTTAAGAAAAAATGGTGGGTTGAACCTGGTTTTATGGCATGCCAAACCTCCCGCTTTGTGCCAATGTTAAGAAATATCGCTAAAACACTACGTGACAGAAATACAGCACAAACACACGCAAGAACATTTATAATAGAGAAACGCACAAACAAATAATATGATAGTCGACACAACATTCAAACCACAGAACAACAACGAACATATTCTCCATCAACGAAAAACACCACAGGATATCAAATACAGTGACGCGCTTACGTAACTAACATGCAATCTGGAACTTTATACAATTATTTTCACAATATTGGTCCAAACAATTTTCATGACAATAATGGTATTGAAAGGCAATTTTATAATTATTTTGACTACAAACGATAAGATATAACAGATTATCCAACCTAAACCATAACAGATTATCCAACATAAACCATAACAGAAACAACAAAATAAATCCATTAATGTTGGATGTACAAAATACCGAGACACGCCGCGCAGCAATGTAAATTCACATTCAGTATAGCAGTCATATTCGGGAATATATGAGAATGATGGTATTGTAGGGCAATTTTATAATTATTTGGACAACAAACGATACGACATAACACATTATTCAACAGAAACCATAACAAAAACATCAAAAAATAAAAACATAAATGTTGGATGTACAAAATACCGAGACACGTCGTATAGCAATGTAAATTCACTCTCGGTATAGCAGTCATATTCGGGATTAGGTCACGTTCGGTACTTAGCAGACAGACGACATAGATGTTAAACCACAATCTAAGACGTGGTAAAAATGTCATTAGTTAGTTTAGACAAAGACACATCGTATAGATCAACCAATTCGTGATGGTGTCCGTAAAATTTACGGAGTGTCATTTCTAATCTTTTCTCCTCATAACTATAATTTTTATCCATTTGTATATCATTCTATTCTACTATTCTAATGATAGTGCATTGCAAGTGCATGGTGGACACTCTTCTGTAATAATTCGTTTTTCTAATAGATTGGATTTGAGTAGGCATTCATATTTTCCCTCGTTTGTTGCAAAACGTTCTTGAGATATTCTTTCGCATGCGTTAACACAAATTTTCGGTAGTCTTGATTTGTAATTGATATATATATATATTTCTCACGACAAATCATTTTCATATCATTTATCTATGTTCTTAAAAATTATTTTCATGAATATTTATTGATGAAATTAATATATAACAAGCGATAAGGAATGTTATTTTGCACTCGATAATATCCGCGTAATTATACGAAATACGTTCGGTTATCAGTCAAAAACGCAAGTCACGTGGGTAGAAATGTCTGCGGCAACATAACACCGGAATGCCCTTACGGTCATCCGCTGTAAAAAGAAGACGTGGTATGATAGCCAATGAGACAACTCTCTTGACGAAGTTTTTCTCACAATGACGTTGTCTTTCCATAAGTCTTGAAATGCCTTGGCGGGTCACATATATAAAGTGCCTAGAAAATCAACCTAACAATGTTAGAGTAAATCTAATTCTTTACTTACTATGCGACCGGGGCTGGAACCTGTACTTTTTACTTTTCACTATATATACATATAACTTAAGTTGTCATATAGTTAGACGTATGTGATAAAATTTACGGCATGGCAAGTAAACTTATCATCCTTTACGACAGACACAAAACAGCTAATCTGCATGGTAAACCATCTACTTGCCACTATACATCATGTTCTGTGTTACAACCCTAGATAAAGCCGACGAGGAAAGGCACAACTCGTCTAAAGAAAGCTATATTTTTATATAGCCTAGTTGGACGATCGAGTGGTCTTGGGCACTGAACGCAGTGCAGGTGGTTTTGCCACGATGTCTCAGATGCAGGGGTTCAAATCCCGCTCAGGGAAGAACAAAAACTAGCTTACGCAAATATGCAGATCTAACATTGTATGGCTGTATTTGAGACGAAGTATATATAACTTATGGTGTTAGCCCTGAATAATCACAGGTTATCCAATGGAAAACGTCTGTCGTAAAGTTGTCACATATTTAGATGTATATATATATATATATATATCTTAATCGTCAAAAGTTCTGACAGACACCAATTTCAGTAAAAATAGCGTATATCGTTATTTTATGTTTATTTGCACACAAACATTTGAACCAAATTGAATGATTCCTTTATTGTAAAACTGTATTTACCTCGTCGAAAGGTTTGCGAAAGCCATCATGAATTGGTTATTATGTAATATCTGTATCAAAAACGCCTACGGCGATGTTCCTTTTTTCTGTGACATCGTAACATCATAACATCGTATTTACTTGTCACTAGCGTCTGCTGCAAATGGAGCAAAAATGCTTGTTCTTTAGGACCACCAAAGTTCCCTCCGTTTTTGTAGATTCGGGTTGCTTATTCTGTTATTGTGTCATGGAATATTTTAGTGAAATTATTTGTTTTATTCTGGTGTTTACGTAATAAAAGGAAATGTTACCCGGCACTGAAGAAAAGTAATTTCTTAGTCTTAATTTGACTCGAATGCACTTTAAAAGACTGTGAGTTTGTAAAAAGACATCTGTTTCTGAATACAAGATCCGAATGACCTCGACACAGGTAAATACATATATCAAATTTGTATATTTCTACAAATGAGCGATTCATTCTCTCATGAGCCTTTAAGTCTCTTTATTTGTAGGTTGCTCTTCCTCTTATGATTTGTATGACTCTTGTATTACCCCCTTGGT